TTTCCTACAGAATCAATGCCTCTTTATAAGTTTACATCACTTGATAAGAATAGAGTACCTAGTAAACAAGATAAGAAAGATTTTATGTTACTTGTGCTTAGTTATGAATCTGTAAGAATAGTTTCATATCTTTGATGTGGTGAAACTCATGTGAAATCTTCCAATACAGGTTAGTAAAGAAGTACAAATCAGCCTGTGCTCGCTTTGCTTAACTGCATATACTATCCTTGTTAGTACAATCATTATTATAAATGTTAAGTGATTTGTGTTTCTATTCATGTTAGGACAACCCAATATGGTAAGATGAAAACTCTAAATGGTAGGGGAAAATTTATTAAAATGCTTGGAAATACAACCAATAACAAATCTAGGGAATATATTGAAGTTTTAGGTGATTAAGCAGTACACACAAAAAATGGTAACCTTATAGATCACTGAAAAAAATACTCAGTGCCTTCTAGAGGAAGATGTCTGGCCCTGCGAACAATCTAGTGTGTGTGTGTACGTGCACATGCTGGGGTGAGATGGGGAAAGGGGAGAAAGAAAAAAAAAAAGAGGATTTAGAGGATTTATCACTTGGGCATTGCTTGTAGATAGAAGGTCTCTGGCAATTTTAATTCACCAGCTTTTCAGTGAGAGAAAGATGGGCAGTCTCCTCCTGTGGAATTTACAGCCTCAGAAACCTAATGGAAGGTCAGCTATGAGTGGCTTCCAACTTTGCAGTCGTGGGAAAGTATTGTTTATCAGATTCTAAAATATGTATAACATTTGACCAAAAAATATCTATTTGAGAGCATATATATTTCACAGAAATATTTTGTCCCAGTATCCCTGACTGGCAATTTTATTTGTTTTCAATCAGAGTTGACTACACAGGTTGGTTTTTTCCAAAAGTAAACCGTCCCTAATCTGTCTTAATTTGGTCCTCTATGGGTGACCCTCTCTTATACTTGAAATCCTGGTAGTGTGGCTTTCAATATCACAGCAATATGTAAACCAATCCAGAATGACAAACTGAAAGACAATTGGTGGCTAAGCCCTTTACTGCTGCCTGTTAGGTCCAAATAATTCTGTGTTCCTTAAAGTTTCTTTACATTCCTTCTTAAAAATAAAATGTGTTTAGGTGATAGTGACCTAGAGTTATGAAGCTATAACCTTGAAAAATAGTTTTTCTATCCATTGCATTAGCCCTCACTGGGGACATGGTCTTTAACTACCTCAACTGTGGACACATGATCTTGTGGACACAATCATCAACAGCTGTGAGCCCAATAGAAGCAAGAGCACGTTCCATGCTGTGGCAAGACTATCGTAAGGTGTAGCCGGAGATGGAGGCAAAGTTAAAGGTTTTGCTTCTGGACCACTGATTGAAGAGCTGACTTGTGACTGCTATGAAACAAAGCTTGTTGGACGAGTGAAGAAACCAGAGGTTTATTTGTGCTGCTAAACTGAATCTAGACTTTGACTTGTTGATTGAGAAGCTGTCTGTACTAATTGAGGAATTGTGTCTTGGTGTTGTCAGTCTGTCTTGGGGCTACTGTTCACTAAACCTATACATTATGTGATAATTTTTGTCACATCCCCTCCAATCTATTTCCCTAATAAACCCTGAAATTATGAGTAATGCTTGTGAGTCAATTTTCAACCAACACTGAAAATTATTTCTAGCAATAGAAGCAGGAGCTTGGGGGGTGACATGTCTGTCCATGTAACTATTTGGTACTATAGATTTAATTGATGGGTACAGTTCCTCATTATGAAGCTGTAGAAGTAAGACTTGGTCTTGCCTATGTTACCGCTGCTCCTTTCACAGGAGTAAAATAAAAAAAGCAGATTTGAGACTAAAATTAATTAAAAGTCACATTAAAAAGTGAGTAAAATTTGAGTAAAAACCATGGTAATTTAGTCAGCTTCAACTATAGACACCCTCCATAGCATTCCAGGCTATCAATTTCACAGCAGGAGACTGTTTGTATATTACACACTACACCACCAGGGTTCCTTTTAATATTATTAGGTAGCATTTAGTTTTGTAACTTTAAAAATATATTTAAAAATTTGAAAATATCTCCTGGTAACTTTTTGAAGTTACTCTCTAGTTCTACTATGTAAACCAGTATTTCTCTTGATTGCAATTGTAGAACTTTTTGAAAAAAGAACTTTTCTAAGAAATGAGTTCTCAAGAATTATGTGATATGGTCATTAATTCTCAAGTTAATCAGAAAATAGCTTCCCTCATAGTACTTTGGAAAGCAAGACTTTTGGTTTACGCAACATTCCTCTTGTCTCAAGATAATGCCAGACTAAAAATAAAAACTGAAGAACATTCACATTAAAAATACCTGGCCATCTGATTTCAGTGTCTATAAATAAAGTTTTATTGGAACACGGGGAAAAAAATACCTGGCCATAAGTCAGGAAATTTGCCTTTATTTCTATTATGGATTCTGATTTGCAAGTAAGAAAGAGTAGTATTACATCTTATGCTAAAGGGCTGAGGAGTACATGTTCCATGTCTCACTAGTATGGACAATATACACCAAATACGCCCACCATAAGATGCTGTAGTTAATAAGGAAGATGTAAGAATCACTGTCAGGAAAGTCTTTTGCGTAGTTCATAGAGAATTGCTCTGTTAAAATAAAGGTAATTGTGTACCATGGCAGCTTTAAATGCACCAATGGCTCCATGGGACAAAGATTAACAAAATCCTTTGTGATTTGTTATTGTTGTTATGTGCTGTCAAGTCACTTGCAACTCATAGCGACCCAATGTACAACAGTCCTAAACCCTGCTCTATCCTATGCCAACTTTATTGTCTCTGACACACCTACTCCCCAGTCACGGAATCAATCCACCTCATTGATGGTCTTCCTCTGTTGTGCTGTATTCTCCACCCTCACAAGCATCACGTCCCTCTCCAGTGACTGGCCTCTCCTTGTAACATATCCAAAGCATCTCAGGCAAAGCTTAAGAATTCTTGCCTCCAAAGAGCAGCCTGGTTTCACCCTCTCTAGGACAAAACTGTTTTTTCTCCTAGCTGTCATGTATTCAACTGTGAGTCAGTTCTAAATTGATGGCAGTGAAGTTTGTTTTGTTTCTATTTTCTCTGGCAGAGCATCTGGTGGATTCGAACCGTGCGCCTCTGGGATTGCAGTTGCAGCTCCTTGCCACTAGGCCACCAGAGCTCCCCTGAAGGTGATTTTTTTAAACCATTCAAATGTTGGAGAAGGTGTGGTGATATAGAAATTCTTATACATTGTTGGTGGGATTATAAAATGGTACAACCCCTCTGGAAGGCAGTTTGACATTTCTCAAAAACCTGAACATAGAAATTCAATATGACCCCGTTATTCCCCTGCTTGAAATATGGCCGAGAAAATTAGGATGGAGGCACACGCGTAGACTTGTACATCAGTGTTTACAACAGCGTTATTCTCCATCACAAGAGCATGGAAACAACTCATTTATCCAACCGCAATGGAATGGATTGAGAAATTATGGTACATTCACACGATGTAATACTATGCAGCACACAGGAGCAATGATTTTGTAAATCACTATCTTGGGAGGGATTGCAGAGTATTATGCTAAGTGAACTAACTCAGTCTCATAAGGACAAAAAACTGTAAAAGACCATTATTGTAGAATATGTATGAGAATCCAAGGGGAGGTGGGGGAGGGGGGAAGTGGAGGGGTGAGGATGGGCAGGTGGGGTGGGGAGTTAAACATAGGGTCGCACAATTTGATAGGAGGAGGGAGGGATAGGTAAAGGAAATGGGAAAGATCCGTTGTGAAAAAAACAATGTATATGAACTTTGTAAATAATCCAGTATAAATTAAAAAAAATATTTTAAATTAAAAAAGCCCCTAAACAATAACAAAATAAGCCATCCAAAAACTTCTGGGAAATACAACATAAAGTTATTTTAACAGCTGGGGGAGGGGAACCCACAAAACCCAAAATGTGTATAAATTATTGAACAGAAAACAAATATGCTCTGTAAACTTTCACCCAAACCGCAATAAAAAGAAAGATTACTTTATAAAGAAGTAAGTGCCAGTAAGAACTGCCCCATAGCTGACCCTCCAGGCGATATTCAGAGGCTGTAAATCAGATTTAATAAATCAGAGTAGATTGCCCATTTTTCTGCAGAGCATCTAGTGGATTAGAATCTCGTGTTTCTGGGATAGCAGGGTAGCTCAGAACACTTGACTCTCCTCTCATTGGATTAACTACTTTTGAAAATCTGGAGCGTCAACTGCGGGTCAGTTCCTACTTGACTGTACCCCAAAAGGACAACTAGAAAAAGAATACTTTCGATAGTTAAGACTTTAGAAAAGAAAGCTTCTGTCTTCCTTTATACAGTTTCCTCTCTCTATGCACTTAGGAGAGGGAGTCTTGGCTGTCTAGCGGATAGGGATTTGCACTGCTTCATCTAAAAAACGGTACCTAGATTGATCTTACTTTTGGCGGTTCTAAACCAACCTCCTCCTGTGAAGTTTACAACCTTTAAATACCTTTTGGAGGATCACCTATGAGTTAGTGGACGATAATGAAGTTGAACTTGACCTACATGCACTGACAGACATGCGTTTTCGTGCATTTTTTTCTACCCTACAACTCTGTTTTGGTACAGAGGACAGAACTCTCAAACGTGCTCTGTCAAGTTTTTAAACTTGACATCTCATTTTCTACTTTTGTTTCTTGCCACTTTAGACTCCCTGATCCAGTCACTTTAAGCCACTTTCTGCTTTTCCCCTGTGGCCTGGTTTCTACTCTGCAATGCCTCTTTTGCTCGTGAGAGCTGGTAGCACGGGGACGCCTCGGGCACTTTACGTGCCATTACCCCACCCGGCTCCAGAGGGCGAGCGTCGGCCTCTAAATCCGCTAGGATTTACACATACCGGCTCTGAATTGCGCAGCGCTGCGCGTCCTTACGGAAGTGACGCGAGTTCCGGGTCCAGTAGGGGCAGTGGGAGCGATGAGACATTGCTAGCGGATGTTTGAAAATGGAGGTAGGAATTTGAGCTCCGGGAAGGCTGGCGAGAGAATGCGGCCAAAGGGGTGGAATCGGAGGCGAGAAGCGAGACGGCTGAGGGTGGGAAGGAGCGAGACAGACGGGCTTGGGGACTATTGTCATCGGGTCGGGGTCAATCAGAGTCTGTCGCTGCAAGCTAGCTCCCTGCTCCCCTTTAACTTAGCCCGGCGGCTTCTTTTGGTTTCTAGTTTCCCGGAGGAAGTGACAATTACCTGACGATCACAGGACCCTCGCACCCGTTCCTGTCTGGGGCCGAGGTGAGTGAGAGCTGCGGGAGGCGGCCTAGGGCGCCGTGGAGGCGGGGCGGGCGAGAGACCAAGGCCCAGGAGATGGGCACCCGGCGGCCACGATCAGTGTTTGGAGAAAGGTGGCAGCTGTTTCTGGAGCTGTGCCTGGTTGGGGTGGGTCCGGGGAACTGCTGTCATCAGAAAAAACAACAGGATATTGACAAGAAATCATCTATTTAAGGAGGAGATAGGGATTGAAAAGCCCTGTGGAATTGTCTCATTTTCTTTAGGAATTAAAATCTTTAGCTCTAGAAATAGGGGTAAGGAGGAGTTTACCTAGATAGGAACTCTGTTGAACGGGTCTTTCTCCTCCCGCTTTGCTCATTGATGTAACAAAAAAAAAGAGAAGACATGTTCACATATAGCACCAGCTTGTTTTGCTAGTGACGAGAGAAAAGGAAATAGCTTCCAGAGCACATGAAGGGAGCTGGGTACATCATCTTTTTCTGCTTGCAGGTGACTCAGAGTCTGGGCGGAATGCATCATCTTTGTATGTCAACTATCAAGTGACTTTAATAATACGGTGGCTTGTGATATTGGGGAAATAATTGTTATGGTGAAGTCTTCAAGTATTAGTGGGGTGCTTTTCGTTGAAATAGTGTCAATATAGAGATTGTGGAATATCGCCACTTATACAAAGCAGAAGAGAAAAGATGGAACAGATAAATTTTTCATTTTCAGTCTTCGAGAATGTGTGAAGTAATGAACCTTTTATATCTTTTAAAGATTGCCCATAGTGGTGTGAATTTTTTACGTCCATCTTTTTTATCAAGAATTTTCAGTTGCTGTTGGATGGATTTATTTTCTAATCTTAAAATTCTAATAGATGAGCTTTAATTTGACATCAAGCAGTTGGTAGGATGATTGGGTTTGTTTTTTTTTTAACTTTAGACTTTTTCACCAGAAGAAAAAGTGAACCAAATAAACAATACACAACAAAATTATCTTAGTCTTAGTACCAGTTTCTTCTGCATGTGGTCTTTACCATTTTAATTTCATTTTTTTGAGCGCTATCAATATAGAATTGGACTCATCCATGTAAAAGTACATTTCATAACTAAAAATAAGTAATTTTCCATTTTACCCCCTCTTCTTACTCTTCTGCTGCTTTTATGAATGGTATAGCCAGGAGATAACTATATAAGTGGCTTCTTTGTGCAACATCAAGAAACTTCTAGGTTTAAGTATGGAGGTTTTTGTTTTTTAACAAATCCCTGACTAATCTTGCACTATGCTTACAATTTTACTGTGCTTAATTAAGCCCACAGTTGTAACCACTAGTCAATCCATCTCATTGAGGGTCTTTGTGTTTCTAACTTTACACTTTTCTAAGTATTATGGCCTTTCCTAGAGACTGACTCCTCCTGATAACAGGTCCAGAGGTTGTGAGATGAAGTCTTTCTAGCCTGCAAGGAACTTTCAAACTACTTATTATTATTTTTTTTAAAGTTGTATTTTCTTTTTTCAAATAAGCCATTTTATTTTATTTATATTTAGTGTTGTTGTTGTTGTTGTGTACTCTAAGAAGAGAACCAACCCATTGCTGACCCTCCAGCTGTTTTTCAGAGGCAATTAATCACATGGGAGGGGCGATTGCACACCTTTTTCCAGAAGAGCAGATGGTGACCTTGAACTGTGTGCTTTCAGGATTGCAGCACAGCTCCTTGCCACTAGGCCACCAGAGCTCCTGCAACTGTACTTTTTTCAAAAACAGAATTGTTTGTTTTTTTGGCAGCCCATGGTTTATTTAATGTTGTTCACCAGGGTCACAATTCAAAGCCATCCATTCTTCTTTAATCTCCTTTATTAATTGTCTAATTTCCACATGCATTATAAACCAGTTGAAAATGCCATGGCTTGGGTCAGGCACACCTATCTTTAAAGTGGCATCTTTGTTCTTTAATGCTTTAAAGAGGTCCTTGACAACAGATTTGCCCAAGGCAATATGTCATTTGATTTCTTGACGGCTGCTTCCATGGATGTTAACTTTGAATCCAAGTAAAATGAAATCCTTGACAACCTCAGCCTTTTCTCCATCTATCATGATTTTGCCTACTGGTATAGTTGTGATGATTTTTGTTTATGTCGAAGTGTAATCTATACTTTAGTCTTTGATCTTCAGTAAATGCTTGAAATTTTAAAATTATCTTAATTTTCAACCAGCAAAGTTGTGTCATCCTGCATATCAAACATTGATGAAGCTTCTTTTGTAATAATTTCAACTCACTGCCATCAAGACAGAACAGACATTTGTTACAGCATTTCTTGGCATGCAAATTTCTATGATATGAAAGTAATTTAATCTGTTTTTCCCCTTTTGATTGGCTTTTATGTAATGACATTGTGCCTTGAGCAGTTTTAGGGATTAAGACATGAAAACTAATGTCCTTGATTAGAATAAAATTAGTTGCCATCAAGTAGATTTTGACTCATGGCTACCCCAAGCATTTCAGAGAACTGTGCCCCATAGGTTTTTGTTGGTGGTGGTGTTGGTTGAATCGTAGACGACTTGAACATTTGTATAACTTTAATCATTTCTTCAATGCCACTCCTCTTTCCAAGCTTGTTTTAGTCTGGAAGCTCCATCGAACACTGTCCACCATAGGTAACTATTCCCAGATTTGACACAACAGTGTCACATTGTTTTAGTGGGAGATTTTTTTTTTTAGAGGCAAGGAATTCAGGCCTTTCTTCCAAGGCATCTATATTTAGGGAACTAACTCTATTCCCCAACCTTTGGGTTAGCAGCTGAGTGTATTAACTACATTTGCAAGGGTTCCCTTATAACTAGAATTAATGTTTTCAGACTATATAGAGTTATTTTTCACTACTGTAACTATGTTGTTTTTTTTTTAAATATTTGTGTGAGTGTACCGTCAAATCAGATCTGACTGGTACAGGAGGAGATTGTCCCTCCCCTGGCAGAGCATCTGGTGGATTCATGTAACTATGTTTTTAAGGACATATTTTTAATGACTTGTAGTACTGTGTTCAATAAATAGATGTTGGATTGAAAAGAATTTTCAACAATGAATCCAAAAAAGCGTTTGAGGAAATACAATAACAATTATTGTGGAATGAGAAAAGAGTGAAGTGTTTTAGTTTTTGTTTGAGGAAATACAATAACAATTATTGTAGAATGAGAAAAGAGTGAAGTGTTTTAGTTTTTGTTATCTTGGTATTTAATCGTCTTTGCTTATATACTAATTGTCAAAATGCCTGCTACCTCGAAAAGATATAAAAGGCCCAAGGATTTAATAAGGAAAGGGAAATGGAGAGAGAAGGTAACTGCACTGTAGTCCTGTTTTTTTTCCCTCTTATATCCAAACCACTTTATTATTTGTTTCAGCTTTAGATTTTTAACAGTTTCAGGTATGATCTAATCACATAATAGATCCACTAATAATAGGACAGAGTAAAGATCTGTTGTTGATAGGATCTCTATGAGTTTTACTGACTTGATGCCTTTTCAAAATAACAAAGTAAAAGTATTCATTACTGGAATTCACCCTTAATCTTATAATTCTGGTTGCTATTGTTGCATGCTGAGTCTGACTCATAGTGACCCTATCTATGCACAATAGCTCTGAACCCTATTCTATCTTGAGCCAATCTCACTGCCTTTGACTCACCTACCCTCAGTATCTCAGTTACTGTGTCAATCCATCTCATCCAGGGTCTTCCTCTCCTGTGCCGCCTTCTGTCATTCCAAGCATGGTGTCCTTCTCCAAAACTGGTCTTTTGTAGCAACCTGCCCAAAGTATGTGAGACACAGCTTCAAAATCTGTGTCTTAAAGGAGGAGATTGTTTTCACCCTCTCCAGGACAAACCTGTTAGTTTTCTTGGCAGTCCATGGCATGTTCAGTACTCTTCCCCAGCATCACAATTCAAAGGCATCAATTCTTCTGTTCTCTTTGGTCATTGTCCAGTTCTCTGATGCATAGCAAGTAATTGCAGAGACCATGGCCTGTTTAGGAACACCTTAGTCTCTAGAGCCGAGCAGCAGTGGCAGGCCACAAGAGAGTTTCACTGCCAACCCAAAGGTAGGCAGGTAGAAACCACCAGCTGCTCCTTAGGAGAAAGATGAGCCATCTCCTCCAGTGCAATTTACAGCTGCTGAAAACCTCCTGGTGTCAGCTATTAGTCAGTTCCAACTCAAAGCACACATCAACAACAAAAGAAATTGAGTATAAATCTAGATATATATTATAGAGTGGAGCTTACTTGTCTGTATTCTTAATAATTACCATTTTCTATTTATACTTAAAAAGAAGAAACAGAAAAACCCATTTCATGATTAAAGCCACAAATTATGAATAACAAAGCAATTTTTGCATCCCAAGAGATAGTGCTTATAAATAATGCCTTGTTGAACTAATACAAAGGAATCTCTGCATGTCTGGTTTTGTGTAGTTCATGTGAGCACTCCAGATGGTTTATGAAAGGTAGTCTTTCTAGCACAGTGGTCTTTTTGTTTTAGATATGAATTTTTTTTTTTCCCCCATTGTTGCACATTTTCTTCCTCCTTTCCCCCACTACCCCTGAGCCCTCCCCACAATGCATTCCTTGATCCAGATTGTTGTCATATATATAATGCTTAATCATGGCTCTTCCTCTCATTTGATCTAACGCAGTTTTCATTATCTAGCCACTATTTTCCCATTCTCTCCTCACCCACCTCCATGTCTGTCCAATTTTATAACAGCAGTGTTATGCAGTATTTGTCCTTTTGTGACAGATATTTCACTCAGCATAATGTCCACCAGGCTCCCCCAAGTTGTGAAATATTTTTTATGAGTTCATGGTTTTTCAGTGCTGCTTAATGACCCATTGTGTGAATGTGTCATAGTTTTTCTATACATTCATTTATTGATGGGCACTTGGGTTGCTTCCATCTCTTTGCTATTGTGAATAATTAGCAAGCAGTAAACATGGGTGTACATACCTCTGTTTGAGGCGTGGCTCTGGTTTCTCTAGGTTATATTCCCAGTAGTGGAATTGCTAGGTCAAATGGTATTTCTGTTTCAGACTTTTTGAGAAAGCGCCAGACCACCTTGCATAATGGCTGTACATTTTACATTCCCACAAGCAGTGATTAAGAGTTCCAGTCTCTCAGCAACCTCGCCAGCATTTATTGTTTGCTTCCCTGTTGAACTTTGCTGGGAGGAGATGTTATCTCATAGTTGTTTTGATTTCTATCTTATAGGTAGGGATTTTGAACATTCCTTTCTTTGTCATCTGTATGTCTTTGGTGAAGTGTCTATATCCTGTGCCCATTTTGTGATTGGGTTGTTTACATTTTTCTTGTTGAGGTGCTATAGTAATCTATAAATTTCAGATATAAGTCTCTTCTCATTTGTCATTGCCAAAGATATCCCCTCCATGGGTTTCCCTCTTACCTGTTGAAGTTTGATATGCATAGGGATTTGATTCTTAGAAGGTCCCATTCATCTATTTTATTCTTTCCTAGTTGTAGGTGAATTTTTCTTTTTTTTTTTTTTTTTTTTTTTTTTAACAGAATTTTTCTTGTCTCCGTAGACTTGTTTGCTTGTTGTTGCAAACAGGAAAGAATAGGTATCTTTGCTTTGCCAATCTAAGACAATAAATATTTTTCTTTATTTTTCTGTTTCGCTAACTTTTTTAGTTTTGTTTATTTGCTTGAGGATTTGGGGAAAAGTCTTTGGAAAATACCCATAAAAATCTATAAACTCAACTTTCAGAAAGTCATGAATCTGAAGTTAAGGACTTTCACACAGTAAGAGAAAGATAAATTGTGTACTGAGAACCAGTTGAGTTTGTAGGGACAGTTCTAGTCTTTCACATCAAGAACTAACTATATGTGTACCCTCAACAGAAACTATCAGGGTTGTTTGGTTGGTTTTTTTTTTAACTCTCAGTTTTTTTATTAATCTTTCAGGCAACTTCTGTTTGCCACCATAATTCAGAGATTATGTCTTCACAGGCATATATTTTTCTCCCCAGTTTTTAATGACTGAAAATAGTTTAGTAGTTTCTTCAATAAAACATAACCATGATATTTGTGAGACCCTTCCTAGTTCTAGAAATGCTTTGAGGAACTCCTGTGTCTTGCAGAAATGCTCTGTAGTTTTCTTTGTATAAGTCTTTTAAGGACCTTTTAAAAATAAACATAGATTATGGAAAAATATGGACACATACAGAATTTTATCTGAATTAGTTAATATGATATGATATGTTGATAGAATTTAGTTTCTAAGATTCTAGTTATTTATCTGTGCTAATTGGTTGGGACATTTGGCAAGTTAGAGAATAGCTATTAGTATTGTCATTAGCAACAGTGGTTAATGATTTATTAAATGATTATGTGTATCAGGTACTGCAGTAAGCTTTTGTGCACTAAATATCTCTAATTCTCATAATAACCATATGAGCATGAGATGATGCATAGAAAGACTAGACTGCCTTACTGAATAATCTGTGAGAACCAATCATGGTCACCTAATAGTAGAGTTGGGACTTGAACTTACTTCCCTCTGATACCAAAATATTGACGGTTGTAATGATGAAGAGGTTTTAATTTTGCAGATGTTTCCACTTTAGTTTAAAAAGAGGAATTGTAGCAGTTAATATTGTTTAGACAAGGCATTGAATCTGCTAACCATAAATGGTGGTCCATTCAAAATAGAAAGAATATATTATTATTGGTCTTCAGTGACTGAGGTAATAGGGATAGGTGTGTCAGAGACAATAAGATTGGCATAGAATAGAGCAGGGTTTAGGGCTGTTGTACATAGGGTGGCTATGAGTCACAGGTGAGTCAGTGGCACATAACAACAACATTAACAACTGCATTCAGAGGAAAGAATTAGGTCTTTAGCCAGCTAGTGTGATCTTTTTCCTTCTCCCTTGTAGAAGAACTTATTCAGAAAATTACTAAGAATGTGTTCTAGAATTGTTGAAACGCCTTTTCATTGTAGCTTTTAAGAAAGTCTCATCTTTATTATTCTTGGCCATGTTTGAGAGTTGTTTTGGTTTTTTTTAAATCTTGTACAAATGAGAACATGATTTCTAGAATAAACTGGAGGTGAGACAGGAAACTGCACTGAGTACATATAAGTTAGAGGGGCATGAGATTCCAATATAGATATGCAAAGGAATCTAAAACAATAGTCAGTATAATTGGCTGGTTGACAGTAATTATTTATGGTATGACAGTTCAGGTGTAATAATTATGAAATAATGGCTATTAGAATCTGCAAAGAGATTTGAAGCATGTTGGCTAATAGGCTATAAACGCCGAGTTCTTACTAATGTTACTAAAAGAATTGTTCATTACGCCGCCGCCGCCATTTTACCACAATAAAGAAGCTTTCAGCTGCAAAAAAAAAAAGAACAATAGGCATAGTACTCTGTTGTTTGCCCTCAGAGTGAAGCCTTTCTATAATTATTGTTGTGTCTCAAAGTTCATAGTTTCCAGAGGCATGTTTAGGAAGAGGATTAGGACAACCAAAATGATAATGGTAGAAAAGAGATGAAATAGTCGAAATCTGTAATTCATGTTTGCATCCTTATATGTGTCATGTGACCAAAGACTATGAGGAAGAAGAAAGATTCTTTTCGTTCCTAAGAAATTGATGACAAAAGTAGGATCCCAACTAAAAAGAGGTGACACAGATAATCTCAAGCATCTGGTCATGTTCTCCACTTTATCTGTGTTTAAGTACTCTTCTTATGTCAATTTTTTTTCCCCCCCTACAGACATTCCATACACCAAGCTTGGGTGATGAGGAGTTTGAAATTCCACCCATCTCCTTGGATGCTGATCCCTCACTGGCCGTCTCAGATGTGGTTGGCCACTTTGATGACCTGGCGGACCCTTCCTCCTCACAAGATGGCAGCTTTTCAGCCCAATATGGGGTCCAAACATTGGACATGCCTGTTGGGATGACCCATGGCTTGATGGAGCAAGGTGGAGGGCTCCTGAGTGGGGGTTTGACCATGGTAAAGAGGCAAAGCATTATCAAGCTTACCCAAGCTCAGATGCATGTGTTAGGGAAGACAAAAATATATACTTGAGTTTTAATTTGTTTCTTTTATTAGGGTTAAAGGTTAGCCATCAAAGACTTAACTTTTCCCAGAATGAATGAGATTTACTGTTGGGTCAATTTTAATAGAAAAATATTAAGAATTGTTAAATATTCCTTTTTAATTTTGAAGTGAAAGTAAGTTTGTTTTTTTTCAAAGTGGGGAGAAGGATGCTGCCATTATACCTTTTCCTTTTGTTATGATTCAGATATGTGTGATAGCTGTGATTTTGACAATTTTCAGAAATTGTCTTCCTAATGTTGTAACTGAATTAGTATGTATGTGGTATTAAGTCATTGTGCTGGGCTTCCAGCACATCTCATCAGTAGTTTATCTGTATTTGTTTCCTAACATCTCTAACATTGGCTTTATTTACTTTGATTACTTGTATATTGCAAAGGAAGGTTCCAAGGGAGGATTTTTTTTTTAACCTGGGTGTGGTCACCGTCTCCAGATTGTTGTGTGTACCTTAAACTAGCTCATAGCTGACTCTCTGGGGGTCAGAGGAAGTAAATCACACAAGAGAATACTGCCCATTTTTATCCTATTGAACAACTGATGGATTTGAACCATGAGTCTTTGGGTTGTGAGCGTAACTCCTTACCATTCGCCCTCAGAATAGTTTCTCTGTTTTTTAATTTGTCTAAAGTGGAGACTTTTCTGATTATTTAGTTACTTTGGAATAGATTTTGTCTCTCTGGCGTACAAAGATACTAATATACCAATTTCTGCATTTTACTAAAAAACAAAACCAAACCATGCAATCCCAGGAGTACATAGTTTGAATCTCCCAGAAGCTCTGCTGGAGAAGGGGCAATCTCCTCCTGTACCAGTCAGATCTGATTTGATGGTACACACACAAAAAATTAATAAAATTTTTAAAAAGCAACAAAAAAAAAACCCAACCCCAAAACAACCCCCTCAATCTATTTTCTGTGAAAAGACGTTATCTTACGTTTTGTAGGGTTTAAATGATGGTATAATCTGGGTAAGCAGGGGATTTATAAATGGTCCTTAATTTAGGTGGGAGGGTTGAGTTTTATTTTATTTATTTTTAATATTTAGTGCTTAATTAGTCCTTCTGTTTCCTTCAGGACTTGGACCATTCTATAGGAACTCAGTATAGCGCCAACCCACCTGTTACAATTGACGTGCCAATGACAGACATGACATCTGGCTTGATGGGGCACAGCCAGTTGACCACCATTGATCAGTCAGAATTGAGTTCTCAACTTGGTTTGAGCTTAGGGGGTGGCACCATCCTGCCATCTGCCCAGTCACCTGAAGATCGTCTTTCAACCACCCCTTCACCTACTAATTCACTCCATGAGGATGGTGTTGAAGATTTCCGGAGGGTGAGTCATTCTCTGCCAAAATCAATTCTGCCAGAATACTGTAGGATAACTCTTGACATTCAAAACCTAATCACTGTTCCTTATTCCTCCCTTGTCCTTTTCTTTGCTATTTGGGTATGAAGCCTTGTCTCTTCCCTTTTAGTTCATGTTCCTCCCAATGCCCATTTTTATGGGTTCTCTTGTGCTCTACTATTACGTTTGAATTCTATTTCCTCTATTTTTAACATTTCTGAAAAGCTCATTTATGTGGTAAGATAGCTTTTCTCAAAAAGAAAAGTCCTTTTCTTGCAGTTCTTTGGATCCAGTACTTCCTTTCTTCCTTCTTGTAATTCTCTTTTTTTCCTTTCCTCAGCAGCAGCTTCCTTGCCAGAAGACAGTTGTGGTGGAAGCAGGGAAAAAGCAGAAAGCCCCAAAGAAGAGAAGGAAGAAAGATCCTAATGAACCTCAAAAACCAGTTTCAGCATATGCTTTATTTTTTCGTGATACACAGGCTGCCATCAAGGGGCAGAATCCCAATGCCACTTTTGGGGAGGTTTCAAAAATTGTGGCCTCTATGTGGGACAGTCTTGGAGAAGAGCAGAAACAGGTAAACAGATAGTAAAGATTTTCTTAAGTTTTTCATGAAAGGAATTTAAAACTGAAGATATTTTCCTATAAGTTTCTTACATGTTGTTTCATATTGTCTAGTAAATATAAAAAATACTGAATCCTTATAAGTCTTCCTGGCATGCCAATTTTGTATCTTTACTGAAGGTGGAAACTGGGGCTCTCAGTATATTTCTCTAGTGGTAGAGGTTAACCATAACTCAAGTAGCTTAATTAAGAGTGTTTATAATAATTACTGACTTGTTTCAACCTGTTCAATTTTTAGTTAACTTTTCTAAGTCTCATTTTTCTTCTTATGCAGAATTAGGTCATTGCTTAATAAATTGCATGCTAAAATGGCTAGCCCCAAATTTACCACTTAGTTTGGATTCAGAAGTTAATTCAGGGTTTCCTCATTGACCTAATTGAAAATTGGTTAATCTATTTTAAGATTAATCTGGCATGGTCATAGTTTCTTGGAGCATCTTAGTTAACTGGCCTGATAACATATTTACCTCCAAGTCCAGTGCATAGTCTGAGGTCTTAAAAAGCTTGTAAATGGCCAGTACAGCAAACTGGGTCTTTGTCTGGAATAACAGAGGTAGGAGAGCCTAGAATAGGAGGAGGATATGCAATGTGTGGTTTATTGCTTCCTTTCTCACAAGACCAGAAGAACCAAAAGGTACTCAGTTACTGAACATTAATCTGATAAAGATTCCATAAAAAATCCTGATCAAATGAGAGAAAATGCAGAAATAGAATTTCATATTTTTAGATGCTAGACTTTCTGGATCCATTACAGTGTGATGAACCCCTGAAATAACCTTTAAACCTTAAGTTAAAAGAAAGAAGAGTAAAATGCTTTATTCGTATGTCAAAAACCAGGCATCTTCAGGAGCTAAAACCAAACATTAATTTAGAGAAAAATGTCTAAGTTAAGAATTAGGCTATTTTGTGAAAAACAATGTATTCTAACTTTGTAAATATAACAGTATATTTTTAAAAAATTATGCTATTTTAAGAACTATTTCTGTGCGATCAGATTGACAACAACTCAAGAGCTTAGTTAGGAACTTTAGAGGGCTATAATTTTAATGGGAGAACAACAACTAAGAAAAGACGTATGAGAATAGTTGCACAACTCCAAGAATGTAATCAGTGTCACTAAGTGGGTAATATAGAAATTGGATTGGTGATGTTTTGTTTTGTGTATTCTCAATAACACCAAAAGTAAATTATTTTAAAAGTTTAATCTGGTGAAAGAAAATAAATGAAGTTGTGATAGTATATAAATAATACAGTTGAATTAGATGATGGCTGTCATCATACCCTAGACTCTGTTTCCTGCCAGAACATATACATTTTTATAATTTATTTTTCTAAGTTACTAACGTCCAAAGAAAAACTTGCTTTCCTCATCTCCAAGAAAAACCTATTTGTTTTCTTGGTGGTCCATGATTATGTTTAAGACTCCTCTCTAGCACCACAAATCAAAGGCATCGATTCTCCTTTTAGTTAGTGCTGCCTATTAATGGGATACCCTGCTTCTTCTATGAAGATCTTTTTCTCATCTTCCAAATTGACAAGATTAGTAGCTTTACAATATGGCTGATTTAGGACAGCTTTCTAAGAAGGCAAAACAGATGCCTCATGGCCCCTTTACATTTCAGGATCACTTCAGGCACATCTAATGGCCACAGCACATGATATTGATTAGCTGTTTTGGTTTTTTTTTTAAATTTTTTTTATGATTAGCTGTTTTAATTGAAGGCTGTCATAATTGCTAACTCATCTTTTAATACTTGCAGGATCAGTCAATATTCTGCCCAAAGCATCCTTAAGTATTGCAACTCGAGGCTTGAATTTCCTCTTCATCACCATTGCCTCTTGTTCATATGTTGTTTCTTGAAATTCTTGTCATTTATTGATAAATTGTCATTATTGATGAATAATTTAGAATTAACAGCCCTTTTCTACGAATATAGCCGTCTTTAGAAACATTCTGGTTCTGTCTGCAGGTTTATAAGCGGAAAACTGAAGCTGCCAAGAAAGAGTACCTGAAGGCCCTGGCTGCTTATAAAGACAACCAGGAGTGCCAGGTAAGAGACTTATGTAGGTGGATACTTAGACCAGTAAGTTTTTCTTAGCTCTTTTTATTTTAGCATCAAATCCTTTAGAACCTCTTAATACTATGTAATATTAAAAGGTTAAAAATACCTTAATAGCATTCCTGATATTTCAATATAAAAAAACCTTGCCAAAAAGTCTTTTTACATTTAATTATAGTTTCCAGTATTTACTTTCCAGGGTTTTAAATCTCTATTTTTTTCCCTCTTGAGAGGTAACTGAGTGTGTCCCAGGGTAAATTTCCCATTCTTTTTTTTTTCCAGGCTACTGTAGAGACGGTAGAATTGGATCCAGTACCACCAGCACAGACTCCTTCTCCACCTCCCATGGCTACTGTTGACCCATCATCTCCAACACCAGCCTCAACTGAGCCCCCTGCGTTGTCCCCTTCCATTGTTGTTAACTCTAGTACTCTTTCCTCATATGTTGCAAACCAGGCATCTTCAGGGGCTGGGGGCCAGCCCAATATCACCAAGTTAATTATTACTAAACAGGTATTGCCTTCCTCTATTACTGTGTCTCAAGGAGGAATGGTTACTGTCATTCCAGCTACAATGGTGACCTCTCGTGGGCTCCAGCTAGGCCAAACCAGTACAGCTACTATCCAGCCCAGCCAGCAAGCCCAGATTGTCACTCGGTCAGTATTGCAGGCAGCTGCAGCTGCTGCTGCTTCTATGCAATTGCCTCCACCTCGACTCCAGCCTCCTCCATTACAACAAATGCCTCAGCCCCCAACTCAGCAGCAAGTGACCATTTTGCAGCAGCCTCCCCCGCTCCAGGCCATGCAACAACCTCCACCTCAGAAAGTTCGAATCAATTTACAGCAACAACCACCTCCTCTGCAGATCAAGATTGTGCCTCCACCCACTCTCAAAATGCAAACTACCGTAGTCCCACCAACTGTGGAAAGTAGTCCTGAGCGGCCAGTAAACAACAGCCCTGAGACCCGTACAGTGGAGGCAACCTCTCCTGAGACAATCTGTGAGATGATCACAGATGTAGTTCCAGAGGTGAGCTGCTTTTCTATTCTCAGTTCTTTCCTGTAGATTGGTAGGAATGTACAAGAACAATTTTGGATGATCCAGTAAACAAGACATTTAAATCTGTGATACACCAGGAATATTAAAAATCTGTAGTGCAGACGATAGCTTTCCACAGCAGTGATGTGCCTAACCCAAAATCTTACATGATGAAAAAGTTGTCTCCTTTCTCAAACTACTTAACTAAGCAGAGACACCGGGATAATTTTATTTAGAAGGATACAGCCAATAAGTAGAGTGTTTTCCAAGGTGTCTGTCCAACTACTCAAAATCCTTCCATTTTTCTTAAGTCATGACTGTTTGATGTTTTCAGTGAGGTGAAAATAGCTCAAAAATGACAGCTGGTTCATAGCATATCTTTAAATAGATGTCCACTACCCTCATTTTAACTTGTACAGGACCAGTAATCATCCTAAAATACAAGACTTTCAAGCTGCTTAATGAGGGGGCTCTGGGGGATTAATGGTAAGGAATTGTGCTGCCAATTTAAAAGCACGCAGTTCCAATCCAGTAGCTCCTTTGCTGAAGAAAGATGGTACCCAGCAATAAGAAGCTAATTAATGAAACAAAAATTTAAAAGAAAGAAGGAAAAAAGAAACCCAACAACAGAATAGTTTCAGGAAGAAACTATTAAGTTTCCTCCTCACATTTTTCTTCTCATGGCCTTTGCCATCTAGCTTAAAGGTGATCAAATTCTACTCATATTCAACTTGTAGTACTTTTGTTGTTATTATGTGCTGTTAAGTTACCTAAGACTCATAGCAATCCTACGCACAATAGCTCTGAACCCTGTCCTATTTTGAGCTAATCTATGACACACCTGCTCCTGTTCAGTCACTGTGTCAGTCCATCTCATCCAGGGTCTTCCTCTCCTGAGGGATATAATTCAGGTGTGGACTAAAAGCGCTAGGTAACATTAAAAAGAGCAGTAGCTTGCGTCCAGCTTCCTTAACAGGAAAACCTTTTACATCGCTGTGCTTGGCAAAGTCCAAGTCTGATTTGTGGAGAGAAAGAAAACAGGAAATTTCACTGCTTTATGTGAAGTTCTGTTACTGATTTTCAGGGTAAATTTGACTAGCTGGCTTAATAGGTATCATTCTCATCCATTCTTGGTATGAATGCTCTTCTTATAGGTTGAGTCCCCCTCTCAGATGGATGTTGAATTGGTGAGTGCGTCTCCTATAGCACTGTCACCTCAGCCTCGATGTGTGAGATCAGGGTGTGAGAACCCTCCTGTTGTGAGTAAAGATTGGGACAATGAATACTGCAGCAATGAATGTGTAGTGAAGCACTGCAGGTGAGCTTACAGTTTTCTTTTGTATACTCGAAGTGATGTCACATACAACTCACAGTGTATTGCTAAATTAACCTTAAGTAATCAGTGTTACTTAACATTAGAGATGCTAATGGAGAAAAGTTTCTCCTGCTTGGAAAGAGCCTTTACTTGTTATATGGCTAATGATGTAATTAACAGTTCAACCTTTCAGTAATCATATTACCTCTATGTGTTTTTTAAAAATACAGAATATATATATTTCATTAATGCAAATCAGACTAGAGTTTGAAGAGAAATGCTTAAATGGTATGTTGGTAATACTATGTAACATGGTATATTGCCTACCAACACCGAACCAAGAACAATAAGATACAAAATATGGTGGGAGCGGGTAGAGTGGAGTATGTGTTTAGTTCTAAGGATTTTCATATTTTCTTTGGGCTTTACCTAAATCCATGATATTATCCATTAGTATTTCCTATCATAAATCCTCTCCAGTAGATTATGCTAGGGATTTATCTTATTACCTCTACTTCTTTGATGCTGGATAAAACTACTTAGGAACCTAATTGATTAACACAGTTAAATATATCTAGGCTAGAATTCTAACTTTGTGTATCTTTTTCTCTCCTAGGGATGTATTCTTGGCCTGGGTAGCCTCAAGAAATTCAAACGCAGTGGTATTTGTGAAGTAGTTCTTTTTGTTCTACAAGCCAGTGAAGACGTCTCTACTTGGAATATGTCCTAGAGCCCAGTTTTGAAACACAAGCTGGCTTCCGATGTTGGGGCTTCTCAACCCATCATGGCCCTTCCTGCTTCTCCCTTCAGCAAGAACCAGGCTGTGGTGCAGAGCTGTTGAGTTTGCTGAAACCTGAAATTGCTTTTTACTGTCAAGTGCAAGCAGAAATGCCAGTAATAGCAGAGGGAAGAATGAAAGAAATATGGACAAGCAAAAAATACAGATGATAGATAGGGGTGGTGGTGGGTGTTTGAGGTAATTTGCTGGTATGATTGTCATAGGATTTGCCTAAAAAAATTATTAAAATGGAAGAGTGCTCACCTTTAAGCCTAGGAAAAAACACCACTGTGTGCATTCATTTTAAAAGTAATGAAAGGTTGGATTCTAGTGTTAAAACAGCACTGAAGGTTTTCAGTGTATCAGGTACACTGGTCTGTAGGGAAATAACATCATCTAGGAGTTTTCTTATTTCTTTTCGTTTCGTATAGTCTTCCTTGTCTGAGTAATCACAGCTTATGTGCTTAAGAGGCAGAACTCTATATCCTTAATATAAGAGGTTTCACCAAAGTCTACATTGTATTCACTTGTGTTTGATGAAATATCTTTTAAAGACAGGCCAGAGGCATATTTCTATACAAAATATATAGGCTAGTTACCTGCATACCCTAAGTACTTACTTATAGGAAGATAGACTTATTTTTCTTGAAAATAAGCTAAAAATTAGTAGACTATGTAGTAATAATGGTTATTCACTGTAACTCCACAGTCTTACTTTATAATTAACATTTAATGTCCTACATGCATTCATTTAATTTGAATCCTGAAAACCACCAAGGTTGAGGTTGGTGATGTTCCTATTTTACACTTGAACAGTCATACTGAGAGAGCCAGGATTTGACCCTGAAATAAAAACTATAATATAAACTTTTATTTAAATAAGGAAAAGAACTATATTGTACAGTAATTCTTCAGGTATAGCCTGCAGAACCATGGCTGTGAATACTTCTCTGTTTAAGTAAGAGCTTCTATAAATTCTTAGGTTTAGAGATGACACCATCTGGATATCTTTCCTTGAACCGGGCAACTACATCTGGGTCTAGTAGATGAATTCCATCTAGTTGGTTGCCAAGAGTGATCCTGAAGAAAGGGGAAATGAGAAATCTTTTAATTAAAGGGCTTAATAATGTTAGATGCCTGTATTTTATTAATCCTATTTCATCAAATAGTGATGTTGCTCTTTGAAAAAGAATATATTCTGATTTGACGGTACACAGACACACAAAATAATAAAATTTAAAAAAAAAAAGAAAAAGAATATATAATAGCAGGAGTCTGGTGTTTTAAAAAGGCTGTTTTGTATTACTTGGGAGCTCTGGTGGCCTAGTGGCAAGAAGCTGTACTGCAATCCCAAAGGTACATGGTTCGAATCCACCAGGTGCTCTGCCGGAGAAGGAGGGACAATTTCCTCCTGTACCAGTCACATCTGATTTGACGGTACATGCACAAAAAATAATAAAACAACAGTGAAATGCCTTTGCTTAGTCAATACAGCACAAATAAACATTCTTCTGTTTTGTATTACTTAGGTGTTAATAATTAGGTTTATTCTTTGGACAAATAGTCTGCTCACAGTATGATTTCTAAATTCTTAAAGGAATCAAAAGATGACACCAATGTTGACAGAGGAACCATATTCTGAGTAACCACCAGGGGGCAGCTTAGGGACTAAGGATTTAGGTTCTAGAGTGACAAAAGCTATAAAACACTGCCAAACAATTTAAATGGTCTATAAATCCCTGAAGCCTATCTACAGACTAATAGGATATGAGGAGTAGCTTTACTAATTGAAGTTATCCTATTCTCTGGTCACCTTACCAGTTGGGCTGCACATTGTGTGGTCTTCCAAATAACTCAATCTTTCGAGTGCCAGGGGACAGTCTCTCAATCATGCCATAAATTTCATCTGGTTTATGACTGGTGGAACGAACCTAGGAAATAAATGCTTTAGCAACTTTTAAGTTACCCAAGATTACAAATGCCCTTTCCATTACATTTAAAATCCAAAGGGAAAACTTAAGAGGACACCTTGGAAAGCCAATACAATAAAATGTAGCAGTTTTGGATGCCTTGGGAAACATACCTCAGCCACAATCACATCACAATCCAGACCCTGGTTGAAGCCTTGTGGGTTTCCTTTGACACCAACCTGTTCACCAGAGAACAGATTACTTTTCTGAAACTCATTTCTGTAAGAGATCAAACAATTCTTCTTTCTGACCTACTGAGTTGGGTACCCCTGCTCCTCACCAAGCAGTGTTCCTTCCCATGGTTCAACCAGTGACCTGTACGGCCTGTCCGAATAATGCGTTGCAGTTGATTTGTCTTCACCCAGATAATTTCATCTACTCGTTCATAACTGTAGGGCATAAGAAAGAGAACTAGAGCTTCAGTAACTAATCTTTCAGTTTAGGGAATACACCAAGTAGCTAAAGTAACAAAATTTATTTTTCAAAGGCAGCTCTGGTGGTCTAGTAGTAAGGAATTACACTACCAATGCAAAGGTCAGTGGTTCAAATTCAATAGCTGCTCCACAGGAGACAAATTGGCAGTCTCCTCACATGTAATTTTAAAATTTCCCATGCATCTGAAAACCACTGGAAGGTCAGATACAGGTTGGTTCCAACTCGATGATCCTTAACAAGGACAAAGCAACAAAATGATTATGACTTACCCCCAGAGGTTCAGACATTCTCTGCCCAACTCCATGGCCCTACAAAGAAATACGGATTAATAGTGACTTCCATACCCATTAGGTTTCCCTCCAAAATGTCAGATAAATGTTGTAGACATTAGAAACATTTTTTTCCAGTAGATGGTCAAGATCATTTTACATGCAAGATACTATTAGAGTAACAGGGTAGATCCAGTAAAATAAAGCACTAAATCCCAATGACCTTCCTTTGCTTAAGAAAGAAATTAAGCAAATTAAACAATCCAATTATGTTCTAAATATACATTTAGTCTCACTGGGGGGAAAAAGATCAAACCAGTCATATATTCAGTAGCAAGCAAGGAAAACCGAGGATTTTCTCTCACTTTGTACTAAACCTGCCCATGTCTACATATCTTTGAACTACATTACCTTCCTGTGACCCACAGGAACAGAAAGCCATCATCCTGCAGTACTGGTATGTTGAGCCTGCGCATCTCATCATCTGTCAGGGTCCCATAGGGCAGCTCCATGTGGATATCCCAGGGTGGGTCAGCCATCACAACTGCAAACTTGCCCAAGATACTGACGTCCAGGTAGCGAATATCACAGCAGATCCACTGCATGAGGTGGTATTTGGTCATCTTTCGTCACAGATTCATTTTCAACAAATTTTCTTATTCCCTTCTATCTATCCCAGTACATTCCCAATTCTTTGCATCCTTAATTTGTATGGTTGCCCTACTCAGACATAAACTGAGATGTTTCTAAACAGTAAAGTACCTGAGGGGGGAAAAGTCGATCTGCACTGGAGTCACCTCCTACGCTCTGTGTAAGAGCAAGCTCCTGGCTCGGTGTGTGGTCTTTGCCACCAGGGACCTCAGAATCCATGCATGCATCAATTTCATAGTGGACATACTTGCAGGTATCCATGTGGAAACAAGTGTTAAGGAAAGAGCAGTCACCTAAAGACTCATCAGTATGTTTGTTGATGATTCGTCTAAGGAAATAAGAATCAGAGGCAATAAAGCACTCCAGAGTTAGACCTCTACAAAGTCTCAAGCGGTTTCAGATTTTTCTGTCTCCCCTTCTCAATTAGACATCCTCCAAAAGTTTTAAAAAAGAGACAAGGAACACAGAAATATCTAACATTAGAGACTGACAATTCTCTGAACAGACTTAGAGCTATAAGAAGGATGCACTTGCTATCAGAAGACTCAAATTCACTGAATGGAGTCAGAATTGACTCACAGCTGACCTTCCAGTGGATTTTTGGGGGGCTATAAACTGCACAGGAGAATGCCTAATCTTTCTTCTGAGGAACCACTGGTGGATTCAAACCAGCATCTTTCGTCTGAGGAACCACTGGTGGATTCAAACCAGCAGAGGGGTGCCATACTTTTGGGTTAGCATCACAGCTCCCCACCAATTATGCCACCTATCAGAGCAGAGTAAAACACTGCGATTTATAAGCCTGAGGTCTATTTCTCCTACGCTCATACTTCTCCTAGAGAACTTTAAACTTTCACTGAGGCTTTGAAGCAATGATGCTTTGCTGGTAGAACTTTTTTTAAAACTTCATATCCACTTGGGAGGCAGCCTGTATTGTTCTACAAAATATTACTACTGAAAGTATAGCTTTGAGTCTGGAGGGCTTAGAAAAACAAAAAATTAACAGGACTGGAGAAAACCCCAAAAGACTAGAAAGCGTGTACTGGGAAAAAAAGAACTGATTCTAAGTGATTGCATTTCTTTCCCTCCCAAGAGACCTGAAGTGCAATTTGCGACAGGGCCGGTCAGCATCACTGGCTTTCATGCATTCTTCCTTTGTTCCATAGTCACAGAATTCTTGAACTTGGGCCCGACCTCGAGAGCGAAACTTTTCAACAATGGATTGTTCCTTGGCTGTTGTTGTATTTAGTAGCTCTAGGATCTCCTGACTGACCTGTAACAGAAGCAGTTTGGATTTGAAAATGTTTGTAGACCAAACTAGTTTTAAACTATCGTTGCACATGGTTTTTTTAAAAAAAACAAACCAAAAAACAAGAGGTTGGGTGTCATAGTGGCAAGAAACTGCGCTGCAATCCCGATGGCATATGGTTCGAATCCACCAGATGCTCCACTGGAGAAGGAAGAGCAATCTCCTCCTGTGCCAGTCAGATCCAACTTGATGGTACACAACAAAGTAAAAAAAAAAAAAAAACAAAAAAAAACCCACCCCAAAGCCAATTAAGGGAGCTCTTGTGGCCTAGTGGCAAGAAGCTGCACTGCAATCCTGAAGGCACATGGTTCAAATCCACCAGATGCTCCACTGGAGAATGAGGGGAAATCTGTGCAAGTGAGATCTGATTCAAAGGTATAAAACAAGGGGGTTAAAAAAATTGAGAAAAAAAAAAAAAAAAAAAAACACCCCCCAAAAAACCAAACCACAACCTCAAAACTAGCTGCCATGGAGTCAGGAGTCAGAACCAACTCAAAGCTGACCTTCAAGCAGGTTTATGGAAGGTTAAAATAGAATGTGAGGAGATTGCCTATCTTCCAAGGTGGATTTGAACCACCAGAGAGGTGCCACCTTTCGATTAGCAGCACAGTTCCTTATAGACTGTCCAATAAGC